AACCATGACAAGGAAAAGGCAAACAGCAAGGAAGTGAACTTTCAGGGTGTGATAATCATGCTTACCAAAACCAACAACTGTAGAAGGCAAAGAGTAATCTTTATCTCATGAGAACTTGAAAATGAAAACCAAGCAACCAAGCAACAGCACATTAAGCAGGATGCCCAGAGATTTCTAGGTGGAATGGATATTGTGACAAATGCATGATGTCACCTCACCAAAGATGATAGGAGATAAGTTGATGCTTCACTGAATACTGAAGAGCTATCCCTAGAAGCAGAGAGATAACAGACTGAAGAGAGTGTACACAGTGCTAGACTCCAGTTGGCAAATTCAGAGTGGGCTCCTACCTGTGTTGCAGTTGTAGGAAGTGGACCGTGCTGGAGGCAGAAATGGCAGATAAAGAGGAAGGAAAAGCTAAAATGTATGCTGTAGTCCTAGGCTAGCAATGTAGATCTCGTTTCTGTCTGTGGCTCACCCGATGTATCTCATGTGTTCTAAAACAACCCTTTCTTGCCTCTCTTCCTCTGTGGTTTACCTCCAATAGGCATTTTATCCGGTGCTTCAGAAAAATCCCAAAGTTGCTTAATATGACCAGAGAACGGAGGAGAACAATCATATGGCCTCAGCAACTATTCTCCAAGATGCAGCCTATTTTTCTCTCTACTTGACAATAGGTTTCTTTGCTCTGCCTTTAGCTCAAGCTTTTACTAATATCCCATTAAGTCTACAATGGCTCCAAGCAACATGGTGAAAAGGAGCTACAAGATTGCAGAAAATAATTTCCACTTGAAGCTAGTTTATGAATATTCCACCCACCATGGTGCTTAACACTCACCAGGGCACTCAGTGCTTCTAAAACAAGACCCCCAGAAGCTCACGCACCTAACTCAGGTTGAGCCTCCCTGATGAAGACATTTGAAATCCAAGACTTTTCCATCACTGTAGCTCAGCCACAGTTGGGGTGTCCAATCAGTAAAATTCATCCAATCATTTCAAAATTCAAAAATATTTGAAACTGGAAACACTTGCTGTCCCAATCATTTTGTGTAAGAGGTAGTAAACTTACACAAGTGTACATAAAAAGGCCTTGACATGATACTTCAGCCTGATCTGACTATGAACAAATTGTTCACACAATTTTATTTGATCTATTTAGGAACTAAAGGAAGTAGGTAGCATTAATGTTCTTAGTCAGAGGTAAATGAACAGGTAGAAGAGAGGTGTGGCTCAGAAACATTAGAACCACTTGTTTGAAGCTAAACAGCTGGTAAGCAGAAGAGTCAGAAACAAGACTACAGATGTTTTTTTTCCCATGACAGCATCTTTTAGGATACATCCAGTCTCCCTCTTTCCAGGGTTTCTGTTGTGTTAAGAGTGTATACACTGCTTCATGTTGAACTAGCTTGGACAGGTAAAGATAATACTGAGAATGTATGATCAAAGCAGATTTAGGGATGTTCTATATTTTCCAAAAAAATTTAAAAACATCACATGATTTATATTTGAAAGGCATTCACTCATATTAGCTTTGAGCTTTAGGCTTTTAACACAACGGCTGAAATCAGTCAGATAAGCTGTATTTCAGAGGCTTTCCACTCCCTGGAAACCAGCCTCTACACTTAAAATTTTGATGATATTTATATCTGAATTTTTTTGACAGGGTCTCATGCAGTCTCGCCTGGCATTAAGCTAGCTATGTAATGCAAGATGATCTTAAATTACTGGTCCTCCTATCTCCTCCTCTAAGATGCTGGGATTACAGTATTAAATATCATTTCTTTAAGCCATACACCTAAGCCTAGATTAAGAGGTAGCAGTGAAAATTCTTATGATCCTCCTTGATTCATTATCTATGACTTTACAAAAATTATGTATTCCTATTTCTAAAATTAGAGTGGAGAAGGGGAAGGCATAATATCTGGAGTGGCAAACAAGGAGAATGAATGTTAGCATCCATGAAGACGGAAGTATCAGAATATGATTCTGACTGGTGGCCAGTAAGGTTTTTCTCCCACTCTGTGCTATGATCTGGATGCCACCGAAAAAAGGGTGAATTTTATACATACTACAGTCAATACTGTACACTTTTACCTCCTACTTGAAAGCCAGTACATCAGAGCTCTCTTTTGAGAGCCATGTAGCAGACCCCAGGTGGCTTTACTAAAGGTAGAAGCATGGGTGACTACATCGTAGGTCTTACATTAAGCGGACATAAAAGCCATTTTATGCTTTGGCTTTCATTTCTCCACCTCTGGAGTGACTTACAAAATCAGGCCTTATAAGCACACAGGATCAGCCTCGAACTTTGCCCTTCGGATGCATTGTTTCTCGAGTCTCTTTTCACCTTGCTGTCAGCCCTCGGTGGAACTGTCATTGTGAGAGGCTGTGTTATTCATGGGTGTGTGTGGTTATCTTCCTGCAGGAGTGGGTCTGTTTCTGTCCTTGACTCACTCTTTCTTTCTTTCTTCTTTTCTTCTTTCTGTCTTCCTCCATGTTGGTACCAGCCAGGCCCTTTTCTGTTTACATCTATTCTTCTCTTTCAGAGAGCTATTCAGAGAAAATGCAGTACACAGAACACGCACACCCAGCCCTGCTCAATGGGATGTGCTCCCTGAAAAAACTTGCTCCAGACGCTGCTGCTGCTGTCCTTCACTTCAGCTAACAACAAAAGGCGAGCCTTCTTCCTTTTGAATTTTTTTGTCAGAGGTGGTTCTCAGGCAATGCACAAAAATGATTGATTCTCTCTGTGTGTCTTTTCAGATGGAAAAATGATCAGAAAAATGATGGCAGACTGCAGAAAAGTAGGGATTTGACACTGACATAATTCTTCGCAGAAAGTCTGTGTAGACAAACACCAGGCATGGGATACATACATCATAGTGGCACATTCTCAAGAAGGAGGCGATTAAGCTAGAATATTCGATTAGCAAAGAAATTAGTAGTATAAGTGTGCGTGCGTGCGTACACACACACACACACACACACTGCAATATTTCTGCTTAGCAGGAGGTAGAATGGCTGGACTACAGGCTTTCTGCATTTTCTCCTTCCTCAAAGCTTACATCTTCCTGGGCTGGGGGGGGGCATCAGGCATGCACACTGGAATAATAACAGCTTATACTGATAGAAACCCTATATTCATCCAGAGTCTTGACACTGATGTTCCTTGCCTTTCACACCTGAGAATTTTGCATTTCTAGAAGGTTAAGTAGTTTTCCAACCTAGTTTGGTCTGCAAATTTTAGAGCCAGGATTCCAGTAGACATGTTTGGGCCCCTTTATTCTTTGATCATGTGAATAGGACATTCCTGAATAGCAGTTACTGACTGCAAACATCACAGGAAATGCCACGGCTCTTCGTGCATTTTTAAGAACATCTATCCTCCTTTTTAAGTTGCATACACCAAAACGTTGAATCAGAGACCAACTCACTGTGTATATTTTAACTTTTTGTAAAGTGGATTTCATGGAAAAATTGTATAAAATATGCAGGGACATATAAACACACTTCATTCCAAGTTATCTGACCCCAGAATCTCACACCCACTCTAGGGTGTGTGCTACTCTTCTCTTCCATCTCTCTCTCTCCTCTCCTGACACCCCTACCAAATACATTTCTTAATAAACGCCAACTTCGCTTCATAAAAAAGGACATTATCATGATGAAGAAAACAATAGTTTTGCAGAATAAAGGTAACTATAGCAACCTAGGATTCAAATCAGGTTCCCTCTTAGGCAGTGGCAAGCACTCCTGGATGCTTCAGGAGCTTTACACTAATATATGTCTCAAGCACACATATTTTGGGGCTCGTTAGTTGAATTTCTCAGTGTTTGCAATTTAATTCTACCGTTCAGTGTCACTAACTAAGGCGATCTGATTATGTAACTGCCGTTGGGTTTGTTTCTAGGAAGTCTCTTCCTATGCGTCTGTGAATGCTTTCCCACTCTGGCATGCTTCTCCTTCAAATCCCACGACCCAAGAGGCACTGCAGCAGCTAGGAGGGAAGTGGCTTCAGTAAAAGACGTCATGACATCTGCTGTCAAAGAAAAGCCATCAGCTTCCATGCACCAGACCCCTAGCCTCACGTGCACGGAACAGAGGCTCCGTTTGGGGACATGGAAACAACAACAAAAGTAAGCTACAACTGACAACGTTTTCCTACTACTCAAGCAAGCATGGGCTCCATAACCAAGTGAAAACGTGCAAAGATCCCACGACTTAGATCAACTTTATTTTAGACCGAGGAATGGCAGGAATTGGGGAAGAAAGAAAAGAAAACTTAATAGACAGGAGATAGAGAATAGTTAAACAAAGTCAAAGGGGTTGGACTGTCTGGACCTCAGTTATAGGGGGAGCCTTAACTAAGGGAATCTGTAGACAATTTCAGGAGGACAGTACCATAGGCTTGTTCTTAAGCCCAGAGGTAGAGAATAATGGAGGGCTACATTAGGTGATTCTCGTTTTCTGTCTTAGTAAGAAGAGGTGAGTTCAGTGTCTCAGAATCCTAATGCAAATTGCTTGCTCCAGAAACATAAGTTAGGAAGGGGCTGGGTGGCATCACAGCATGAGTATGTTTATCTGATCTTGCTTTCACAGTGAAAGCTTACTCCATAAAGGCTAAGAAAAGGTCCTTAGGCCAGCGGCATCCTGCAGTAAATCCTCCCCAGGTACGCACGGGCACTACAACAGGAATCATCTGGACACTTCAGCGATGCAGAACCAGGGGGCGCCTGAGAAGAAAAGGCAATTTGCACTCTCATGGATATGTTCTGTCTCTCTCTCTCTCAAGTGGTTTTGCCAGCAAAAAGAAACATAAAGTGCAGCTCACCTAAATCAACAGCATATTGATGTACATTTTTCCTTTGTGTGAATCTTTTTTCCCTACTAAGAAGTACCTGCTATTTACAATCTGTTACTAGGTGATGATGGCAAAGCCCACTCCCCCCATCTTCCAGGCAACCCTATACATTTCACTGAGTATTTGCGAGTCAAAATACCTGTTGCCATGCACGTGAGAGGCACAGAATGCAAAGCTGTAATGGAGCAGGGTGGGGTCAATGACAGCACCGTTTTCTGAATGTTCCATCAGTTCTGTAAGGTAGCAGAGATGCCTGTGACAGCCTCTCACACCATAGCGGGCACAGTATTCATCTAACACAAAGACTTGGCCAGGGCTAAACCACCCCTGCAAGAGAAAAGAAAAAGACACATTTTTTTTCTAGGATTTGCTTTTCTGTATGCACATTTAGGCACCATAAGCAGCAGCGGCGGCGCCAGCGGAGTGTCTCTTAGCATTTGCTTTGTTAGTCACAGTTCTAAATGTTGTCATGAGATGGAGTGTCATCAGTTTCAGGAGTCTCGTATCTCTGTGACAACATGTGGCACCTTGCCTTCTCTACTGCTATTCAAAACTAAGCAAATTCTATTCACAGGACTTATTTACATTTCCCAGTCACAGCTAGTGATACTCCCTACACCTTGCTGCCTTTATGCGTCAGTTAAAAAGGGAACAACAAAGTAGACACTACCTCAGAAACTGACCATTCCCCGAAAGCATTCTATAACAGAAACTAGAAGAAATTTTCAGCAACCCCACTGGTGGCACACATCTGCCTGCTTCTGCCTGGAATGTTTTTCTCAGTCTGTCCTTCTGCGATCACAGGACTTAAGATTTTTCCAGCAGTGGTTTCTTGTCCTTCTGAAGTGAGATGCAGGCTGTGAGAGTGGGGCAGAAGGCAAGCAGCCAGTTTGGTTGGTGCTGTAGGTTTGGTTAGGTAGAGCAGCTTCATAGAGCGCCATAACACACTCATCTTACGTGCATTAGATTAAAATGAGAAAGAGAAGATAAGGCTTTTAAAGGAAACAATAACTGTTAAGGAAGAGGAGGACAGGGATATTACAGGACACTGTACTAACAAAGGTAAGGTAGTGTACCAGCAGACACACTACAGACAATGGTCTGTATTTAGAACTGTCACATAAGGTACATATTATGAGTTAGCTTACATCAGAAATATGACTAGAATTGTGCAAGACCACAGAGAAAATCGTTTAGTGAGTCTTGACTGACAACCAGGTCCATTCTATCTTCAAGTACTTTTCCTAATCACATCACAATCCCCTCTCACTGTATACAAGACACATGGTAAGAATTTTTCTCAGATTTTTCTTACTTTTTTCCCTTCCTTCCCTCCCTCCCTCTCTTCCTTCTTTTATTTTTTAAAGACCAAGTCTCAGTATTTAGCCATGGCTGGCCTGAAACTCTCTGTCTAGACAAAGATGGCCTTGAACTCACTGAAATCTGACAAATCTGCCTGTCTCTGCTTTTCAAGTTCTGGAATTAAAGATGTTTGCCACCAAACCCAGCTCTGTTCTCAGATTCATAAACAAATTGATGAATTATCAGTGTAAGCATAGCAGTTGATTGATTTCTTCCTGTCTTGTGGGTAGCTCCAAAGACTTGAGCACACACTGCGTGAGATCTGATTTCAAAGGGAATGTAACTTATTCTATGAAGTTATTAGGCTTGGTATCCATGAAAGTCAAGTAGTGGTGGCAAATGCCATTTCCAATAATAAATAGTTGTTAGGTGACAATTTTAATCCCTAGATCTATGCTATCAGGGAATATATTATAACATCAAAATTTTGCTATTCAACACATACCAGGTAGCAGTTAGCTATTTAAATCGTCTCTCTGTCTCTACCCCCCTGCTCTTTTGCCTCTCCCAATTCAAATTAACTTTGGAGGGCTATATGAAATTAAAGCTGTCCTGTTTTGTATATTCCATCATATTGTTAATTTTTCTGCTTCTTCGCCTGTCACTTACGTTTTCTTAGGAATCAAAGAGACAGGCACAAGACAGCAATATCTGATGAATAGGACATAAACATTAAAATGTCTGTGCAGGTATTGGTGAATCCTATGACAGAGGTTTTCCATCTTTATTTAAAGCAATCTTCTTTCCACACAGCGTTGTCTGGGGGAACTGATAAAGCAGTTCAGTATCTATGCCGGTCTATTCTCCTGTCTATTGAGTGGCACAGCAGTGATCTTCAAGTGTATAATTTTCAAATTGAGAAGCCATCGATTGGAATTCTTTATCCTAACCCCAACCACGGTGATCAAATGAGACGGGAATAAACTGTTGTTTTCCAGCAACTATTTCTCACTTCCAAAAATCTTTTATTCTAACGTATGGGTGACAGACAGACAGATTTGTACCCACCAAACAGGAATAGGAATCATTCAGTCTATGATCCAAAGTCTGTCTCTGGAGAATTCTGAAGAGGAAGGCATGGTCTAGCTTGCAAGGACTAGCAGAAATAAACTCATCCATTCCATGTTTCTGAAAACGGTCGGCATCTGTCAATTCAAAAGGTCATTTGCAGTACATTTAAGCTTCTGATTTAAAAGTCAACAATATAGCTTACAAGAAACACAAAGTTCAGGTCTCATGATAACAGAGAATCACCCATGACACAAAGGATATATCATATTAATATGAATTGCAAAGTCTGAAGCCCAAGGATGACATGAGGAAAATCCAAAAACCATTTAGAAAGAACACATTCAAAGAAAAACTTTTAGCTGCGTGTGTGTGTGTGTGTGTGTGTGTGTGTGTGTACACCATCATGAATATACTGAAATCAGAGAACAGGAGTTGGTTCTTCGGGTTCTGCTACTACATGGGTTTTAAGAGTCAAACTCAGGTCATCAGGCTTGGTTGCAGATAGTTTCATCTGCTGAGCCATTATAGGGCTCAAAGTCCAATTTTTATTCAAATTTACTCCTAATATCTATTCAAAGGACAATGTTATTTCCAATTTTAAGGGAAGTTGGGCTGAACATGGTAGTTTAGACCTATCATCACAGTACTTGGGAGGTAGAGGCTGGTAGCCAGCCCGTTCTGCATAGAGGATCCCAGGTCAGTCCTAGCTACATAGAAAGACACTGTCCAAAAAGAGAGGGTCAGGGAGAGAAAAGTTGATGCATTTTAGGAATATCCTTGCAAAGAGAAGTAACAAGAAAACAATCCAGGTCTATTCATAAAGGAAGCAGCACTGACGGCCAGAAGCCTGCTTTCCAAATGGCAAACTAGGGCAGAGATAAGCACACAGCTTCGGCTGGATCACTTCCAGTCTGCTTTTTTGTATGGAGCTTTTAATGGGACCAACTTCAGTGCAGAAATGGCATTGAATGCTCTCAGGCTTCAAGTTTAAGAGACGTGAAAAAGGGAGCATCGGGTCTGTGCAGATATGCAGACAATGCACCACATCCCAAATGGCACTTCAATCAAAGGTTCAAATTTATTGTTCTTTACAGATTGCATCTTTCAACGCCTGTGGACCCTGCGGGTTTATCAAAAGGCAAGCTTTTATGATTGCTTTCATTAATGGTATGTTTTGTCAAAGTCTTCAATGTGATTTACTAAATATAGACAGAAAAAACCCCACACTTCCCAGAAGGAGTGCTGGGGTGTTACTACATTAGCTCTGAGCAAGCAGTAACTGGAGTGGACTCTTCCACCACTGTAAACATGATGCCCATTGTTGCTTAAAATTCATACATAAATCCCTTTCTGGTCATCAGAAGGAAAGAGTCCTAAATGCAAGCTAAGTGTAGTTTCTAAAACCTATGTGGAACAATCCTAAAATTGCAAAGGAAAAGAGACAAAAGTTTATTGATTAAACCCAATTATAGAGTCAGGCTCATAATAAAACTCAATATTGATCTGTGGACATGATGCTAACATAATCAGTCACATTTAGATATTTAGCCCAGATCATATTGATCCATGTCAAGTTCAACTTTCAGCCATATTTGTGGATGGAAGAACTATATAATTCAAGCTGAAGGGTCTTGAGAATCACATTAAAAATGAAACACACAAAGATGAATGTACACCTCACGCCCACATAACTTGAGAAACTGAATGCAGCAACAAAGCAACGCAAGACAATGCACGGGTGATGTAAGGTACGCAACGGTCATTTCTGAATAAAATGCCATTTGTGCTCTTTCACATTTAATGACTGCCCAAATGATGAAATATGCCACACGAAAGTAGTACTAAACGGATGAACACTAGACTTTTTTCTTGGGCTGAGATATAAGGCAGTTCAGTTTCTCTTATATCCTGTCTAATGTCTCATAAAACCATACAAAATAGCGTCAACTGAGTAGGAGGCAGAGCAGCACGGAAGGCAAAACGCATGCATTCTTCAGTTGAAGGGATTGTCTATTTTAGCATCTTCATTTCCCTAAGTAAAGACTTGCTTAGTGTCACCTTTATGAGATGATTATTTTTTATAAAATAACTGCTGATTTTTATTCATTATTTCTTTCAGCAGAGGTCACATGAAGCAGTTAAAAATAACGACCATTAATGGTTTCTCTGTGGAGAAGAGGATATGTAATAGATTTCACAGGGAAAAAAAAACCTCTCCTATTTCTTACTTTATTATAAAGGCTTAAAGAATCATTTTAAAAAAGCAATAGGAAAATAGTCTTAAAATATACATTTCTGAAGACAAGTCTATAGTTAATTTTTTCAATTAAATAATTATTTTTGAACCGATGAAACAATATTTTGAGACACAGCTTCAAATAATTTTTATTAGTGTGACAAAGCACACATGGGTGAACAATTATTTTTTGGCAATTAGATTAATGATAACATTACATTCACAAATACTAAGTCACAAAAGAATATTCTCCTTCAACTTAGAAAATACAGGCAAACAAACTCACTAAAGGTTTAAGATTAAAAAAAAAAACAACTTAGAGCCGGGGAGCGGTGGGGCATGCCTTTACTCCCAGTACTCCATAGGCAGAGATCAGGTGAATCTCTGAGTTCTAGGCCAGCCTGGTCTACAGAGTGAGTTCCAGCACAACCAGGGCTACAAAGAGAAACTCGGTCTCAAAGAAAAGAAACCACAAACAAAAACAGAGGCTGGTGAGAAGGATTGCCTCAGTGAGTAAAGGCACTTGCTGACAAGCTTGTTGACTTCAGGTGGGTACCCAGGAGAGAATTGGCTGCTTCAAGTTGTTCTCTGAATGTCATAACCTTTGCTGTGGTACATGCTTGCTACCCAACAAATAAAAACTAATCAATATGATAATAATAATAATAAGACCCCAACAACAACCTGCAGTCCCTCAGGGCTAGAGTTTTGGAAACACCTTCTGGAAAGACCCAACATCTCTGCTCCTACTGTGTCAGACAAGCAAGTGCAAAATGCTATATGAAAAGACATGTCACCATTAGCTTCTACAGATTCAAGAAGAATTAAAAATAAACTCTAAGGATATTTGGACCTCCCTGCGTGACAGATATTTTTTATTTTTAGCTTTTTTTCCTAGTCAAATTCTATTTTTTAAAACTGAAGTTGGTTTAGTTGTCTGGCCTTGGATATGAGTGCTCACAGCACACTACAAAGTACAAGGGATGGCAGCAGCATAAAAGCAAAGGACTAAGATGGAGACACACGCTATTGAACACTCAGTATTTTTAACAGAAATTTCAGAAATGGAACAATATAATGCCACAGAATATATATAGGGAAAATATATAAAGTGAAGCAGGTCATGTGACACAATGAATGTTTGTGACAAGAGCAGCTACCATCTCCCTATTTAACAGAACTGTTTACTGCAATGAAGTCTTAGTTACAACTTTCATGAAACCCATAACCTACAAATCTGTTACTTTGTATCTTTTGTGTATCCCTACATTTCTTCATTCACGTTTTTGTCTCATAAAACTGAAACAAAAATCAGCGATAGTATTGTCTAATTTCTCATTTTTAGAAAAACATAATTTCACGTAGCTTTCCTTTGGCATAACTCATCTACATTTTACTCTTAAAATACACAGTTGAGGCACTTGAATCAGCTAGAAAATGTGTTTCCAACCACCTGGTATAGCCAAACCCTGTTGCTTAAAACTGGATTTTATCAGGTTAACTTCAATTAATGTTTACTGTAAGAAAAAATTATCCAATTAAAAAAATATCCATAGTACTAGTTAAATGCTCACTGCTATGATGCCAGCGGATTTCAGTTTAGTTTGTCTTCTGAAACAATGTAAGAGAATTATCAAAATAAGCCAGCAAGAAATGGTCTTAAATGATTCACTGTGATAGTGTTATAAATTGTGATGATTAACCTATGGACTAACTACAGATGTGGGACATGGTAATTGCAGGCGCTGGTGGAGTTTCTATGGTAACAGTTGGATATCTATGCTGTAACATCTTTAGGTTGTATTGTCACCAAGAGTGCTAACAGTGGATGGAATAAAATCCAAATTGAGCAATGCTGCTGTTTGCTAGAAATTCAAGAAATTATAGAGGTTTCATTCAAGTGGAACCTAAAAATTCAAATGTTTCATTAGGATAATAGATGTGTAGACTTAAGGGAAAAGATAGGAGGTCAATGGTTTCAATTTATACAGTTAATACTGACTTGAAAGTCACTAATGCAGCAAACACAGAAGGACCACCAAAGACCTGGCTGACCTCTCTGGGGTGAGGGAGGATATTATATATTGGGTGGGCACTGAACCCAGCTGGCTTTGGGTGCCTAAGGACCCACATCTCCAGAAGGGTATCGAAGTCAGAGTTCAGACTGTGCAATGGAGAAATTACATTCTGTTTGCACTGCACAGTAATGACCCTGCTGCTTCTGCCGCTCTTAGTGTGGTAAGGGATCCTGTACAAACAAGGGGAAGGGCATGAAGACAGAAGGGGGCAACTGAACTGGAAAATTTTAGGCAGAAACTGGAAGTTACTGAGGTATCTGGAACTAGGACTCAGTAACAAACGATCAAGAGAAGAGGGGGGAATGACTAGCTGAAACCATTTCTCCTCTGTGAAACATGGGGCCACCTAAGATTCGATGAAACTTTTGAAATATAAACTCACTTTCCTATGCTTGAAACTGCCATGTGCTTAAGGGGTTTGCCAACAGCTCCATGTAACTTACACAAACATGTCTATACATTTCTTGGAGATCATACCCTTAAACAGTTTAAAGTTTGCAGGAAGTTACAAAGTGGCTTGCAGTAGTTGGCACCGCCATGTTTTTGTATCACACACATGACCTTCAATAGGCTATATATGTAACAACAGGTGTATGTAACAATAATATACATATATAATAGTGTGTTTTAAATTGCTATGTAGTTAAGTCTGGCTAGTATGTACATATATAATGATTTTGCTTAAGGCTAGAGTAACAGTTAATATAAACATCATTTATAAGTTAATTCATATCTCAATTATTGATCAAATAATTTATTAGCTTCTTTTTGTTATGTTAGTTAAAATTGACATGGTACATGCCTTGTATTTTGTAGTAAATAGTATAAAATTATTTTCACACAATAAAAGTTTTAATTAATAATGGAGACTGAGAACTATAAGTCAGCAAAGTATACAATTATTGAACATTTACCAAAAACAGTATGTTCAGGGCAAAGTAAACTCATGCTTTACCTATAAAGTATGAAATTTAACATGGAAATGAGGAAAGTAAGATGTTGTTAACATAACAACATACAAGCAACATGGAAAGCAAGTTCATAAAATTAAATGTAAGCTCGGCTCCTTACAAACATATTTGGCAAAAATAAAATAGATGTCAGGTTTTCTGGACCATGTTTACAAAAAATCACCTTATTTGTGTATAAATAATATATGTGCAAGTGTGGTTATGCAATTGTGCTACTATGAGTCCAGAAGAGGGGGGTCAGGTTCCTTGGAGCTGGGGTTACAGGTGGTTGTGAGCTTCCTGACATGAGCACTAGGGTCTTCTACTAGAAGAGTGATTACTCCCATCTGCCAAGCCATCTCTCTAGCCCCAGGTTCACATTTAACAGTTATTATTGGAGGTTAACTACTTTGTAAGGTGGCACTAAGATCAAAAATATATTGTGCTATGTATGTAATTAAGAGAAAATGAAAAGCAAGGTGGTTTTGGATTGATAGAACAAACAAAGTGTAGTTTTTAAAACCCTGCTCACCTGTGCAAGGCAGCTCACTGCATTTGAAATGGGACATTAGCAGCACATGTCTCTCACTCTTCTTACTCTGTCTTAAGGATTTCTACACATGCTCAGACTTACAGAAAAAGATTTACCTACTGGAGAGATCTGTAAATATGTATTGTTGTTGATATCCTAAAAAGGTAAGGTGATCTACTAAGTTAAATTTTTAAGCATTAATTTGACTGTCCTTAAACATTCATTATGCTTAGTTTATTTTTCCAAAAAAAGCTTTTTAAAAAGGAAGTAAAAGGCCAGGCGTTGGTGGCACACGCCTTTAATTCCAGCACTCAAGAGGCAGAGGCAGGAGGATTTCTGTGAGTTCCAGGCCAGCCTGATCTACAGAGCGAGTTCCAGGACAGCCTCCAAAACAATACAGAGAAACCCTGTCTCGAAAAACCAAAAAAAAAAAAAAAAAAAAAAAAAACCAAAACCAAAAACAAAAAGGAAGTAAAAGTATATATAGGATAAATAAAATTGAGAACCTTAAAAGAAGAAAAATTACTGGTCCCTCAATTCAGCTTATCAATTATGATTGTTTTAGGTATAAGTATGCCTAGCTTTTCATATTACAAGTAAGTTCCTAACATTGTGGAAATGATACCACACATATAAACTAGAATGCTTCACTTCTATACGATCTGGCCAATTTTGGATGCTATTACAAGATTATCTTTATGTTCACATGAATAATAGATATTAGACTGCTTCCACTTTTGTTGTGGTTAAAAAAAATTAAAAAAATAAATGTGAGACCTAATGAAAATTTTCTGAGTTTGCCTAGGAAGTTGGAGGCTGACACTGTAAAAGAGATGGCAGCCTTCAAAGTTCTCATCAATTCACAATAATATTTAAGCAGAAAGAAAGAAAAAAATGAAAGAAAAGAAACTTACCTTTACCAACTACAGGTCAGCAAAGAAACGAGAAGAGAAATGACAGAAGATATTATCTACAGTTATATAACGGGTCATTTCAACTTCGTGATTTACTTTTGTTGATGACTATTAAAGTGTTCTAAGAGATGGTCAGGAAAAAAATGGAAAGGAACAACATGGCATCACAGGAGGCAGTGAGAGGCTGAGGGCAAACTGATGGAGTCAGATTCCTCATTCTGATAAGATGGAAACGTATGCATCTTCCTCCTTCCCTCAGAATTTTTATTTACTCATTGAAAACAGATTAAAAACAAGAGGTCTTCTCTCATTAAGAATACAACTAGCAGCTTGCCTACAGAAAAAAAAATCATCACTAGCAGTGACAGCATTCTGTTTTAAGTCAGAACAAGTACACTCAGTTCCATCCAGCCTGACTGGCACTGCCTTAACCATAAAAGTAACACCAGACAGGGAGAAAATGTTGTCAGAAAATGTCCTAGGGCAGCCTTTTCAACTCACCAAATGCCTACACGATTCCATGAACACTGATGGCCACTATCAACCCATATAACAACTGAGTCAAAATAGATGCAAAATTTAAAAGGCAAGTTATATAATTTCTAGATACAGGATAAGGATTTAAAATAGTTTTAGGTGAGGTGAAGATTTCTTATCCATGGCATTAATGATGCTGTAATGATTGACCTCAACTATCAACTTGAGTTCTGTAATCACCTGGGAGATGGGCCTCTGGGCTTGCAGGAATATTTTAATAGTTAACTGAGGTGAGAGGACCTGCCCACTGTAGGTGGTACTATTCCCTAGGGTGCTATCCTGGATGACAGAAGGAGCAGAAAGTAAGCCTGGCTCTCTTCCTGACTCTGTATGGCATGTGGCTGGCTGCTTCAAACTCTTGCTCTCTTAGCATTATTAAGTGTATTTTAAACTGTGAGCCAAAAGACTCTTTCTTCCTAAAGTTACATTTGTCTGGGTACACTAAGACAAGTATCTCTATTTAAGGAAATGAGAAACCATGCCTCTAATTGCAGCATTCTAGATGCTGAGGCAGTAAGATTGCAGACCATGAGTTGTATTATGCAACATTGTCTTAAAAACAAAAGCCAACTAACAGCAAGAAAGAAAATAGACTTCATCAAAAATTGAGATATATTTGTTTTTAAAAGAACTGTTAGGATTTATGGTAAAACAAGCCACAGATGAGAAATATTTGTCAAGTAACAATTTTGATAAATATATTACATCAGGAATATATAAAGATCTCTCAAAACTCAATAATAAGGAAGTAATTCAAACCAAATGTTTTAGAGGTCAACTAACAAATAAGATAAATGGACAGTAAATGACCACAAAAGAGTAGCATCTCCAGAAGCCATAGGTTATTAATAAAAGCCAGGGGTGGGTTAACTACAAGTTTTTGGCCAGAGAGTCTTCTGAGGTGCCCAAAAACAATGAGGACATTTACTGTGTCTGAAGGTTGCTTCATCACTAGAGTGGCAGACTCTATTACTGAGGACATCACATGCTTTGGTTGCAGAACATGTAGAAATCTAGCTGGAACTGGGATGGAAGCTTTCTTCCTGCTAGCAAGTTCCCATGATGCCCAAAGACACTATGCAGGATGCTTGGGAGTGGGCTGAGGGAGTGATTTCAATAAGAGTCTTATTCGGTTGCAGACTTTGTGTGCTCTGCTACTGACCACCGAGACACAAAAATTCCCTTTGCTGCAATAGTGGCAAGCCAGTAATGGGAGTAACCAACTGCTTTTTGATTGTCCTGGAGGCCCACTCCACAGGAGAGAATTCACCACTGATACTGCATGCCTTGACAAAACCCATGGCTTAGGACATCATAGGCCAGAGCAAAGAAGCTGTTATTATTTTCTTTAAAATGGACACAGCATACTTCTCAATAACTACGTTCATGTGCATGGGTTAGTGCCATCATTAGCTTTGGTCAAAGAAGCTCCCTTTTTCGGTGGACACCAGAGTAACTGCAGAGACTCGTAAGTGACAGAATGCAGAGCATAAGGGAGAGCTAAACATTTTTGCCTTAAGTAGAACAACTATTTTACTCCCTCTAAAGATCAGAGAATGCCATGGAAGAGGGACTAAAAGGCATCTAAGAGGGGAAGAGGAGAGAATAAGGATGAGAGCGAGATGGAATGCTGTGTTCAGAGGCACACAGGGCCCTGGTCTTCCTTGAGCATAGACAGTAATTACAGAAAGAGGGAGACGAGTTCTCTTCAGTTTGTAATCATCAGTAAGGAGCACATAGCTGCAAATAATCCCTTACTCAGGAACCTGTAAGAAACCCCCCAAACCCTCAATGCATCACACACAAAAATAAACAGGAAAATTCAAAACTTAAAAAACCATGAATATACAAAGGAGACTCGTTGGGAATAGGAAAGGCATCAGTCGAAGGGGGAGGGGAGCAAGAGAGGATACTGAGAGGTGAAAAAAATAAAAATACAGCATGTACATGTATGAAAATGTTTTAATACAGCTCACTATTATGCATAATTAATATATATTAATTAAAAAGAAAAGGTTATGCTAGTTCCAAAGTTAACAAAATGTCCATATATGGGCAACAACTCAGTAGAAAAAAAAAAGATACAATAGCAATTGAAGTGTGACATGTTTAGAAATTAGCCTAGCTAAGAATAAAGGTGTGGCCTACAGATAAGAGGTTAAAAAGGGCACAGGAGCGTTGAATAAATGAAGATTAATTTTATAGGTGTAGCTGAAACAAGTTAGTCTTAATCAGGCGGGAATTTGGATATATTCTAGGTCTTCTCTATGAGAGTGAACAGGAAAAAACAAAGTAGACATAACAGCAGGTACACAGAGGCAGGGGCACCTCAGTATTCACACAGTAAGAATGAGCCACGAGAACGAGATTAGGCTCACACATGAAACCAGGAATGAGAACTTCAAACAGAGCTGAGCAAGAAAACTAGTACTGCAATAAAGCTTGTGAGGCAGTTACTGCTCACATATCAAACAGGGATTTGCAGGAAGACAAAGCAGTTTCCCATTAAATACTGTGGAACTCTATTCCAAGAGATGAAGGACAGAGTCCAGTCTATGAATGTGGAAAGAACTCAATCTAACAGTATAGGTCATCCAGAGATGGCAAAATAACTCAGGGACAATGTCTGATTAGAGCAACAGAAACAGAGGGAGGAATGCATTCTGGTGCCCCCCCTCTCTCTGTCTGTCTCTCTGTCTCTCTGTCTCTGTCTGTCTCTCTGTCTCTCTCTCTCTCTCTCTCTGTGTCTGCAAGGCATGCCTATGTACTCTCATGTGCTGATGGACCTTGCATCTGATGGTTCAATATGATAGCCCATGGCATCGTTTCTAACCTAACATTTTCAGTAGAAAAGATGCAGTTGATGTGGCTAGGCTAATTGAAATGCCTAAAGGAGCCTCCAGAACATGCTCTCTGCACTCCACAGTGTTCTTAAAGGAGATTCAACACCTGACTCTGCACTGCTGTGGCAAAGGCCTGCTACAGTTTGAAACAAGGCATTCAAAGATGTCAAAGGAGTTGAAATGAAGACACAGGTCTCACCTTTAATTGTGTGGCCTCTTTAGAGCCTTTAAAGATGCTCAGATGTAATAATATATTTAAGAGTGTCTAAGAAGAAGAGGGCAATTATTTGATGCATGAAAAGGAAAAGAAGAAAATAATGCATGTCAAGATGTTACTATCCCGGAGAAGAATCTTGACAATATAAAGCCACAACTTGAGCTTTAAGACAGAGCCAGACTGATTTATCCAGAAACAAGGGAAGTTTTGAAAAGAGTTGTAACCAGATAAAGCATTTGGTCCAGTGATCATTATTGAAAGTGTGTTTGAAACTGCTCCAAACACCATTACAGAGCATACAATCAATCACTACTGAATTAACATGAAAGACACACCGGGTTTTAATGTTTTAAATCAACATACAAACACTGATTTAAAAGTGACATTAGTAATTTGAAGATAAGAAACAGCGTTTTTACTTCCCCCCTTTACTATACATGCCTCTTGTCACTCTACAACACAGAAGGGACTAGCCCAATTATCCTTGCATGTCACCAAAAACAAATGCCCAGTGTGATTCTTCCACAATCATCAAATTTAATTTCACAATAGTTTCTTCCTTCTAATAAGAAACCTAGGCTAAAGACAGAAAAATCAAATCAAATTTCTTTTTGAAATGTCTGAAGAATATTTAAAAATGTTTTTGAGATTGTAACTACAACATTTCTCCCTTCCCTTACCTCAATCTAAAACCTCCCAGGTCTACTTCAGATTTATGGCCTCTTTATTATTGTTATTGTTATTATTATTATTTAACTAATAGCAATGACATGCACACATGTATAAATACATATACAGATACATTCCTAAATATAAGCTGTTCAGTTCATCAACACACAGGTATCACTTCAGATTTATGTGAAAAATTAGATAACTAATTCTATGACTAAGAGGAACTACTTTTATTTAATTAGTTAATTAATAATACAAGCCATAACACTGAACAAATTTCCCTCAGTTCTGTATTTTATTAAGGTTATTACGTGATAATCAAATTAATTTTCACAAAACTTACAAAGCTGAGCATCCGCGTGGAGAGTTCCTCCTTTAGGATTTAGCTTCTGGCTTTGAACTACAGGAATTGGCTTATAAGACTGGCCTGTGGCCCTGTACATGGCTTGTACCCATAATATTCTGTCCTGTTCATCATCACTGGCAAATATGACAGTATCTCCTTCTTTAACAGCATTAAAAAATACCTGGCCACCCTGAAGGCCTGTGAAAGAAGAAAGACACCATTAAAATTTACACGATTGGCCGATTTTAGTCTTTATTTACCCAGATTCATTCATATAAGCTCGGCGCTTTAAGTGATCTTATTTGAGGATCATGTCCCCAATCCACAATTTAAAGGAACACAGCAAAAACATTTCCACATATAGTTCAGGGAGATACTCAGCTCTCGACAAGAGAGCCTTAGGTAGTACAACAAACATATCCCATAGTAACGCAGAGTGAAATCTGGTATTTTGTTCCAGAAAGGGAAATTTTTTTTATCCTTTTATTTTATTTAAATTAGAAACAATCTTATTTTAAGGAAATTCTTTGTGTTGGCATATTTATCATTCTACATGTAAGTGAAATATGAGTTCAGGGGAAACAAAAACACAAGGCAAAAGTGATATTTTAGTTTCGATGGTAGTTTAGTCTTTGGACAAGTGGCATTTGTATTTGTAAATGAACAATTAGAGAATATGGCCACCAATCTCTACCTCATCTCTGTATAATAATTTAAAAATGTATCTAAATCTTACTATCTGTTTCTTAACATTGCTGGTTAATTTCACTACCATCCACATATCATTTATTCACTCATTTTCAAGCACTATATGTTCAGTCCTAAAGCCATCATAATTTGAGGACCCCACACACCTGGAATGCTTGATCTTAGAATACTTGGAGTTTGAACTTGAGCTCATTACAAGTAATGAGTTATCTGAAGGGTGAGACCCCAGTCTTAACACCAATTTCACATATACTTATACCTAGAACATGAAGGTAATCTTTTTATAATATTCTTATTGTCCATGGATTTTAACTGTAACTTGTCAAATAAGGTCAGATATAGAATTTTCTAGCTGTGGCATCATATGAACATTAAAAAATATTTCAGATTTTGAATTTCAGATTTATCATTAGGCGATGTATAAGCTAATATACACGGAGGGAGAGAAATATAAGAAGGTTTTTGTGGAGAAAATTATAATATAATATATGTGTTGGGGTGGTGGTACTTACTTTTAACTGGAAAAGCAGAAGGATATTGCAAATTTGAAGCCAGCCTGATCTACATAGTGAGTTTCAGGCTAGCCAGGGCTATATAAACTCTGTCTCAAAATTTGTCTATCTAACCATTTATCATCTATCTAGCTATCTACCTACCTATCATTTATTTGCCATTTCATTACCTATTTTTTTTGTAATTTTGCTTCCCAGTGAAGTTTCTGCATGTATTGCTATATCTCATTCAATTTTTCTATCAGCAAAATTTAAGTATTTTATTATTATATAGGAATAATAGAGAATCATATGATAGTAAAAGGCATAATTTTAATCTTAAAGTTCTTGTCTAGCTGCATGACCTTCAAATAAGTCTTCTATTCATCAAGGGACGTTTTAAATGGAGAACAGACACAGATGATTACAAAGTTGCAGACATCCATACTTGACTGGAAAAGTGGTTCACTTAGCTTTACCTGGGTGGGGGTCTGTGTAATCCACAGTGTATCCTTCAAGTTGCATTAGTTCCTGTGGTTCGGATTTTTTTTCTCTATAACTGCACATAGCAAAGGTATACTGGCTAACCTGCTCAGGAAAAACAGAGGGAGAGAGAAAAAATTGTTTGCAGTTAAAAAAAGGAAAATAATAATTTAACTTTTAGTTTTTCTTTACCTAGACTTTTCTCCAAGCAAAAACATGTAATTTGCATGCAAATTATTGTTTTAGCATTTCTCAAAACCCAGCTCTGAGACTACAGTGTGTTTCAAGGATAGCTGGTGAGAATGGCGACCTAGCATTTCTGTCAAGTATATTTAATTTGGAGATGAAAAACAAACCAACCAACCAAACACAATACTGCTTGACAATCATTCTTTCTGTATATTTACAAACCTGTACGTAACTTTCCTTTTGTTCCATAACTAGGCATGAACAATGAACAGAGCTCCAGTTTCTCACAGTTATATAGGAGCTATCCATCATACCTGTATTAGTAAACACTCAACTATTATTTTGTTTTTGTTTCAACTTAAGCTGGTCTTGATTACAGCAAACCAATTGCTTTGATGCTAATCCACTACCATCTCCAGACTTCATCCTTATCTGTATTTCCACCTCATTTGGGTGTTATTAGTATGTTAGCATTTAGTAACAGGATACTTCACTGTTAAAATATATAATGTTATACATTAAATATTAATTTATATTTTATTAATATTACATTTCTGAAATATTAATATACTTTATTAGTTTTCTCACTGTTCACTGCTTCTTGAATTTAATTTCATCATTTTGAATTTGGTTTCTTCCTTTATTAGAAGATTTTGTGTTCATACTCATAAGTGACAGTCTGCTTGCTTCTATAGAGTATGTACTTGGGCAATCCTGTAAGCATTTTGAAGGTAATATCCCATTGTTAAAGGGCTATGTGGTCATGCTGAAAAGCTAGGTGAAAGTTCAATTGTGCTTTCCTCATACGGTCAGCAGGAAAAGATTCTTGCTGTCAAGCCCAACACGATTTGAATTTGATCCCTGGGACCCACAAGGTGGCAGAGAACTGACTCCAGGAGGCTGTCCCTTTACTTCCACACAGACTCAGCGGCACCCACACACATACAAATGCAAACAAATAATGTAATGAAAAGGTTGTCTTTCTCTAGACTTACTATAGTTTCACTGTGAAATCTTTTGGAGTGACATGCAGATCCTAGGTAGGACGCTGTGTGTTTTCTCTTGGATAATTTCTGGCAATACTAATTTTAGAATCCTATCTATCATTATTTCAAACATTATGTTCTATTTATGTCCCTTTCAATTTTATAAAACAGTATTGTGGAACTTACATTCTTTCCTACATATCCTTGTACCAACTTTACATTTTTTTCTAATCTGTCTATTTTGGGTTGTACTTAATTTCTTTAGAGTTCTATAGACAGTTGCATTTGTGATCTTTATTGTATTTTATTTTAATGTTTATTATAGATTTCTCCATACGGGGGTATGTAAGATTCTCATTTCTGTATTTTTAAGCTATTTGCGTTCCACCTTTGGAAAATGCCTGATTTAAATCTCCTATGTGGTTTTCATGGTGGAATGTTCTGTTCTTATGTTGTAGGTTCTTTTATTAAATTCGCAAGCCTGTTTAGAAATTAACATAGCTTTAACACAACTGTTCTATAGTTTATGTATGGGATAGTTTTATGGCTAAAGTCCCTAAGGATAAAATCAGTTTAGTTTCATAATGTTAGATCATAAGCTATTATTTGATATAACTTTCTCTGTGTCTATTCTCTGAAACCTAAGTGAAGAACTTCTGCCTCCATGTTCTTTAATTCCAGATGTTTCAGGTTATCACCAGGCCAGCTCTCTCTCTCTCTCTCTCTCTCTCTCTCTCTCTCTCTCTCTCTCTCTCTCTCTCTCTCTCTCTCTCTCTCTCTCTCTCTCTCTCAGTGTGTGTGTGTGTGTGTGTGCGTGCGTGTGTGTGTGTGTCTGTGCATGCGTGTGTGTGTGTATGTGTGTATGTGTGTGTGTGTGTGTATGGTATGTGTACATGATTGCATGTGCTGGTCAATGCCAGAAGACCAGGAGCCTTCCTTGGAGCTGGAGTTGTATGCGGTTGTAAGCCACCCAACTTGGGTGCTGGGAGCTGAAACTTAGGCCCACTGTAGTGCAATAGGAGCTTTTAAAACTAGACTTGAGCCATCTCTTCATAGCATCTACATTCCCTAACTTTGATATTTTACTTATATTTAATGAAACAAAGATATTGAATAAAAGCTAATAGAAATTTTGGAGGCTAATTTTTGTACACATTTAGACACCAAGCACAAACTCAAGTTTATAAGGCTGGGGGCAGATTATTTTCTTGGTCCATCATTTCTTAGGAATTTTTTTCTAATTTACTTGAGATCTATACTTTAAATTCCTTTTTTGGACATATCTCAATTATGACTTCCTCTGATTGGACAGTAAATGTCAAGCATACCAGCTTAATCCCACGCTCCAGCTGCCACTGCAGTCACAGTCCTAATTCACACAGAAGCTTAAACATTTTGCTTTTCATCTTTGATCCTTCTTCTGGTAATTCAGCTTAGCATATAAGAAGATGTGCAATATATACGATACAGCGCTTCCAGGTGTTGGACAAGAAAACTCCTGGAACTGGAGACTGAACCCGGGGTCTTCAATATGTTAGGCACACATTCTATCATCAGGTTTCATCCCTAACCCTCATTTTTATATAGCACAGCCTGGTAGTGAATTTAATAATCCTCCTGCCTCAGCCTTCCCAGTGATTAAATTATAGGAATGTGTCGCCATGGTCATCTCAAAAATAAACTGTTATTATTACCTTACAATTAGATCACACTACAAATTTAAATTTCTCAGCCGGATCTTTAATCCCACCCTGACCATGGACTTGATGAAGAAGAGATCTAACTTCTGTCTTTGGGACATGCACTTAAGAGACATAGAGTGAATATGGTGGCTCCACTATATAAAATAAAGCAAGATGTATCCAAGTTGTCTTAAGGATAAGTAAATTGTAATGAGATATTAAGGGGTTTGGCAAAGTGACGCTTTAACAATAAATTAGTAACAGAACAAGAGATTTCTTTGAGCATATAATTAATAAGTCTCACATCTCCATCTCTTGTTTTGGGGACTTTAAAACCATAATAACAAGAGATCCCTGGCACATCACTGCCGTCATAACACAAACCCTGCTGGGAGAGAGATGAAGAACACCGGAGGGTCTGACTTTTCTACACAGCTCGCAAATACCTTCAGCAGTTACTAAGCAGAATAGGCAGCCATCACTGGGTGAAATACTCCAGACACACAATTCATCTTGCCCACTTCAATCATGTCTTTACCCGAATTGCCATGTAGGAGAACATTACCTTCATCTTTAAAAATTCTTCTTTCTATTTCTCAATCTAAACCCCTGACATTTTTCCCCCAAGGTCTTTATCACTGGTCCCCATTTCTTTTCTAACTGCATTACCTTGTCTTCTGTTTCCTTTTCTATGACTCAACTTCTCCAGACTGTGAATAATCTAACTTCCAAAGAGTGTGGCACAAAATCCCTGCCTATGTTTACATGGAACTTATTTTATTTAAATTCAAGAAATGTTCTCTTTCTAGTGTATTTGAAAGTGTAATACTTCTGAAAGTATGAACTACATTTTATCTTGCTTGAAAAACAAGAAGCACAAATAATTCTCCCACGCACATGACATGTATTTGCAAATACATTCTTTTCTACTTGTCATAGCTGACATTTAATTTTAAATTCTAAATACTCTGTTTAAAATGTTGGGGGAATGATTATCATGAGGTGATACATCTTCTTTTACCCAAGTAGCAAAAATTGAATGTATTCTATTGGAGGCATGGAGGTAGAAGGTATTAAAATTTATTTTTAAGAATTACATACATGAGTACTGTATTCACACATTTTCCCTCCCTGTCCTCCCTCTAACTTCCTCCATGTCCTGACTAAGTCCTTCTTGAATTCCAAACCTCTTATTCTTTGATTGTTATTATTGTTTCACAGCCCGAGTCCTTCTATGTATATGTTGTCTTATTGGTTTATTAAATAAAGCACTGTTGGCCAATAGGGAAGCAAGATAGATGGGACTATGAATCAAGGAGGATTCTGGGAAACAGAGGCACAGTCAGTCATGATGTAGGACACCAAAGGAGTAAGATGAGATCCTGTAGAAATACTCAGGTTAGCAGTTGTGGGTTAATAATTAAGTCAGAGCTAGCTGATAAGAAACCAAGTAAAAATGACTAACAGCTTCATAATTACTGTAGTGTTTCATGTGTTATTTGGGGGCTGAGAGAGCTGCAGGACCCAGGCGGCTGGCGGGAAGAGTACACGTCCTCACACACACACAATATCTAATTGCTATAGCTGTTCACCTGAGGGTAGAATCTTTGAGAATTCCCCTATCCACATTGGCATGTCAATTGGTGTTGTCATCTTTTTTTTTTTTTTTTTTAGGTCTTCATTAGGTAAGTTTTTCAGCTAAGCTGTAGTCACTTTCATAAGCAAGCAGTCAAAACACTATGGAAACTAACTTTGAGAAAGAATAAAACAACAGTTAGGGTGTGGCCACTCCCCCAACAAAGCAAATGTGTGTTTGCGTTATTCATTTTATATCTGTATGTGTACCTGACTGTATGTTATGTACACCACATATATGCGTTATCTGAAGAGGCCACTGGATCCCCTGAACTGAAATTACAGGTGTCTTAGAGTCACCAGATGCGAGTGCTGGAAACAACCTAATTCCTCTTTAAGAGCACCAAGTGTTCTTAACTCTCAAGGTTTCTGTTCAGCCCCTAGAAAGACATTTGTAACTTCTTAAAAGCTTATGTCTCCTGTGAGAAACAAACCATTTCTATATACCTTACATATAGAGAAAAAGAAAAAGCTAAAACATTGCAAGGCAGTATGAACCAAAATATAGAATAGAAAAAGATAACATTTTTGGAATTATAATGGACTACAACATATATAAAATATTTTATTGAGTCTTATATATACATATTCTCTTGCAGTATGATTGGGGCTA